GATTATGACTAGTAACTAATAGATACATACAGATTAGAGATGCATGCATCAACATCTCAGTGCTAGTAGCAAAAACAACGAGTCTTTCTGCAAGGGACAATATATTCTAAAATGAAATGGAGATCTTTTTTAAAGGTTAAAAACTCATTCAATTTTATGTCTTACAGGGCTTATACTGAGTTCAATATTGTAAAACTGTATTAATTCAACTGTGAACTTAGAGACTTACAGCTACTTGTGAAAGAGTACTGTACTCTTACTCTGGAGTGTGTTACTAAATATGTTAAAGCTGTAATGAAATGCTTCTTCTAATCATGTAGTTATTAAAAAATTTTAAAAAATAATTATTAAAAAAAAAAGAAAGAAAAGAAAAGGAACCTGGGGCTGGAGAGATTCTTCAGCGCTTAAGAGCACTGACTGCTCTTACAGAGGACCCAGGTTTGATTCCTAGCACCCACATGGTGGCTACAAACTGTCCTTAACTCCAGTTCCAGAGGAATCCGAAGCCCTCTTCTGACCTCCATGGCATTGCATGACACAGGTGCACTCACATACATGAAGGCAAAATAATCGTACACATAAAATAAAAGAAAAAGAAAAAAGAAAAGGAACCCAAAAGTGGTAATATATGCATCTCAATTTACCTTACTTATCAATGATAAAAAGAAAATTATAAAATGGGTCTCTTAATTTCTAGAAATTATTCCAACATATTCTCCGCTGTTCTGGTTAGAACCTTATTCTTGAAGAGGAAACAATACACACAAAAAACATACATTGTGCTAATTCACTGTGTCTTGAATTATGCATACAGTGATTTTATTTTTAAACAAAGGTTACACTTAGAAAGCACCTTTGGTGAGTTCTTTTTTCTTCTGCCTTTCTTCTCTGTTAGGTTTCATCTGATGGCCATGAACTGTGGATAAAGGATAAACATGGCTTTCAGTACCTTAGGACCATCCTCTGCCTTATTTATGTCTGACCTGGTACAGCACAGCTGACCTTGGAAAGTTTAATTGAGGTTGGAATTGTATGGCACAGCTTGAAGCAACCTGAATTTAGAGGGTGTGACATACACAAAGACACACACACACACATTGACAATGTAATGGCCTGATGAAGTGAACGTGTGTGTGTGTGTGTGTGTGTGTGTGTGTGTGTGTTTGGTTCTGCTGAAATGACAGCAGTAAAATAGCCTATTGTAAATTTTTACTGTAAAGAATTCTAGTGAAACATACAATGCATCTACATTTCTTTATATTGAAACTTGGAATTTATTTGTTAAGTAAATGATGATTTAGTTACATATGGAACCTATTTAGGTTTAAAAAAACAGTGATTAGCAATAACTAATTCAAGGCATGACTGTTCTGTGAAATATTAACAATTTTATAATAGTTCAAGTGCTTAATGAATGCTGACATTTCAACTTCAAAATTAAGACAATTTAATAATACAAAAGCAAACAAAGTTTTCATTAATGGATTTGCTTTAGGTAACTAATTGTTTTAAAGCTATCATAAATGACCTATTACTAAAAGTGGCTTATTATATTTAATAAGATTTTGACCAAGATTTTAGATATAATTGGTACATGAAATCAGAGATGTACTATTGGAAAAATTAAATTAAATTTTATTTGTTAATTAAGTTTAAATCTAACCACATTCTTACCTATATGTTCCCAATATATGATTTTTATTACTTGGCAGATTTTAAACTATTTTAGTATTGATGCCACTGTAATAAAATCTGAAAACTAAAATAGTGTTCATTCATACTATTTTTATCTAATTAAGCAAATGATTACATCATTATTTTCAGAGATAGCATTGTGTATCCTGAGGAATTAACATTATGCTAAAATTATAAAATACTGACAAACTTCCATTTTGAAGAAGTACAAAATCTCATTTTTGTATCATCAGGCACAACTCAAACTAGCTTTTAAAGTGTTATTTAAATAACCACAAAACAAGATTACATGGATCACTGTGTAATATTTTATATACACATATGTGTGCAGGTACTAAGAGGCTTCTAGAGAGCTTAGCATCAATAACCAAAAACTGAAAGAAAATATTATCTACATTTTTTCTTGCAAAGAGAATTTCATAGTAAGAAGAATAATTTGTGAAACACAAAGGAAAGCCCCAGGTTGGCCACAGGGCATTCAAGATATACACACATGAAGCTGGACAGATAATTACACCCATATGCACCCATATAAACTCACCCACAAATGAGGTTTATACTTGTAAGTGAAATTCAAGATGCCATCAAGTTCCAGCAGAGCTTCATTAATCAATACACTCAATGAAATTATTCTTCAACTAATTCTCAAGTGATAGGACCTTCTTTGATTAAAATTATTTCTCCTATGGTATAAAGTTATGAAAATAGAAATTACACAAACAATTTTTAAGTTTAAGCATCAATTGCCAAGTTCAATAATTAAGTATAATGAGTTAGGACATATGCCCATATTCTGAAAATTGTTCCAGATTCTCTGCATCTGTTTTGCTCAGAAACTCTGAGAAATAAAATGACTCTAATTATTGTATTTTAACCTAGAAATATAAATAAAAACAACAATGGATGATAAATGTGATCATCAGAATGTATGTGCCAGATACTCCACTCAACATCTTACATAAGCTAATTAATTTGAGTCTGGTCATTATTAATCAGATATTTTTGCAGAAGTTAAAGAGAAATTTATGTACCCTCAGATCTAAAGCTGAAGCCAGTTTTTCACATTAACAGAGAAAACAGGAGGTTACGGTGTTCCACCTCTATACAGCCTCACTGTTATGTCTTAATCTGTGTTACAGGACAGAAACTGCAAAGATTCACAAGAATCTTGTTTATAATAGAAATGAAATGTTCCATCAATATCAAATCTAAATTTTTTTCAGTAAAAAAAAAAGAATTAGATCATTGAAAACTTGGCAAGTTTTCTTTTTTCAAAATGATGAGAGACTTGTGATAATTCTCCAAGCATCATATAGTTAATTTAAGGATATCTGATTGTCTTCCATGCTCCATGTAAGCTTGGATTCCACAATCCCTTCTGAATATCAATATCCTTCTACACCTAGAATATCTAAGATTTGATAATATACAATAACAGGATATTAAAAGCTTGAGCTATTTAAAAATGATGTTGGTTTAGGACACTGTAAATATTGCAGTTATCCACAGAACCTGTTCCTAATGCACTTTGGTCTTGATGATAGTTCTGTTCAGTCATGATTTGATACTAAGAACTATTAGGAAAGTGTGTCCGGAAATTCATTTCGACCAGAAGGAATTTATAGCCATATACATAAGCATTCCTGAAAGTTGATCAGGAACCAAAGTCTACTAAGACACATAGAAATGATTTTCCAAAGTAATTACAAATAAATATGACATAAATTCAATTAGATGAAAACACATTTACACACATCACATATGAACAAGTGATAGAATGAAAAAAATTACTTGAATATCTACAATCCAAATAGAGTGATATTTTTTACCCATGAACCATCTCAGGACAGATATAGGCTGAACATGAGGGATGCTGAGGCTGACAGATGTGCCATATTATACAGAGAGACGTTTTATGGCCTAGGGCTATTACCCTCTAGAGATGGAGCAGACACCATGGACCACTTCACCTAAGGCCGCAGATCACACTCTGACTAGAGGCTCCAGAGGCCCTGACATCCCACTGGAGTGTCTCTTTGTCCAGATTTCAGCCTGTCCTCCTCTCCAAGGTTAAAGAGGCTAAGAATACTGAGATACATGAATCTTTGAAAATATATTTGAGGTGGTTGAGTCTGCTTTATTAAGACCTCACTGATTTAGGTCAATTTAAATTCCATAGTGAATCATGAAATATCTGTAAAAGTCATTATGAACAGTACATTGGAGTCAGCTTTATGAATTTTTTCTATGGAACATAGTAAGCAAATAGCCCACTATTATTATTATTATCATTATTTTTTTTCTGGTTTTGTCTTTTTTCTGATCTGTGTTTTGGTTCCTGGTAAGTTTATTGAGAAGCTCTGCTTTCTGCTATCAGGTTTTCATGCAAGCTTAAGGGGCCACATCCTTAAAGGTATAAATAAAGTCTATTTATTCAAATAATGGCCTTTACCAGAAGAGTCAGAGGACATCTGTCTGAGGCTGTCATATCTTTAATGTGACTCCAGCTGAGAATATTTTCGCAACTGTGAATAGAAACCATGTATTGATGAAAATATTAGGCATTCATGATGCACAATATAGGAACAAAACTGCTAGGCTTGGGAAAAAGTTTTTGGATTTCTTATTTATTACATTTTTAATAGAAACTCAGAGAAAGCCTTATCTGCTGTCATTTGGTTTAAATTCCACAGTACTTTTTGTATTTGACCAAATTCCCTTATCTCTCATTTCCTTGTATTCTGCCGCAGCAACCTACTAGCAGTTGATATACTTATCTATGGTTTTATAATAAAGTTTTAGCTTTCGCTGAGAGAGTGGGTGTGGGGAACAGCAAGGGAACCAAAAGCTGTTCCTTAGCTACTAAATATACCAGCTGCCTACATCCATTAACTGAGTTTGAAAAAGTTGGTGTAGGTAGGGGCTTTGGGGTTAGTTCCATGTGTCTCCCACAGAGCTGTACACAGTGCCTCGTGGCATAGACTCTGATTTCTTTATATAACAAGAGACAGATTTGTAAAGGCATAAAAGGGAAGAAAACTGCATAACGCACATCCACCAAACGGCAAAAGAGAATCTAAATTATGTATCCCTAAGGTTCCTGTCAGTCAAGATTAAGGCATGATCTTTATTATTTTTACTATTTTTAAAGTTAGCATACAGAGAGATGGCTTTCATTTATGACATTTTTATACATATATGTCACAATATTTTGTTCTAATCTGTCTCCCCTCCACACATACAACCTTTCCCTTCCTCATTTTAAAATGAAGCAAAAACTACGGCTGGTTTTGGTATGCCTTCCCAATTTGATATCAAACTCTTTGCTTATTTTAATTCCAATGAAAAAATTAATGAAAATTCAAAACCAATTTACCTTGATGGATTAAGAAAACTATTTAGGAATCTGAACTGTCTAAGGTTGTGATAAAAGATAAAAAGAATTCTCAAAGTCTTGTGCTAGGAAAATGAGACACAAGCTCATAGAGAAATGAAGGAAGACTCTGTAAAGGACAGATATTTGTTTTCAAAGAATTACAGAAAATGGATTTCTTCATGCTGGTCACTGAGCTAGGAAAATCCAGTTCTATCAGTTGTGATGGAGCAAGATTTTCAGGATGCACCAGGCCCTCTTCTAGATACAGGGTCCTACAGAGATAAGGTGTAAGCAATCAAGACCTTCAACTTAGGATCAAGTGACCACATGCCACATGTGAAACACACCTAATCCCTCAACTTCACTGGCAAGATCTATAAGTCAGAGACCCTACAGATTTTCCCACTCGAAGAAAGAGACAGTATGTGCCTTGCTGAGTAAGTTGTTGGACAATTTTATGATTTGAGTTATTTTGCTGGTTCCACGGAAACCAGGTTCTATGAAGAGATGAATCTCTTTGAAGGAATAACTTGACTTTACAGGTAGCAGCACTGGACTTCTGGAATTCTAATGAATGCTGAGATTTGGACAGTAGGATTCGGGCCTTCTTGAACCTTCCCTCTATGTGCGTTTTGCTAACTGTAACACTGAAGTGCGCTTCCACGGTGCAAAAAAATGCACTTTCTCCTTCTTTAGACAGGGACCTTTTGGTACTTCCCTGAACTTGAGATGTTGGAAAATGACAAGCTGCCAATTTTCTATGGGAGTAAGTCCAGTAAAAGTCCTTTGTGAATGCCCTTTGGAAAGATGGGATGGCCTCCTCCCTTGTCTTCACCAACAGATGTTTTGCCTGCATGATAGAGTACAATAAACCCGTGAAATAACAAAGGCGGAATTTGTACCCAAACACCAGCTACTCTTCTTGAAGGCAGCCAACAGATTTGATTATCTCCAAGACACTGGGCTCTGACAGAATGTGACAACTATATCTTTCCATTTCCTATTCAGCCTCCTGGAGATGGAAGATTTAGTATCCTTTTACACACTTCAAACTCAGAAACTTCTTCATATGGCTTCTTATGAGTACTGGGGGCTGGAAAAGAAATCAGGTTGTCTGAGATTTGCAGTGAGTATTCCTGTGAAGTAGCTTCAATTTGCAGGAGAGATGCTGGTGACAATTTGCAAATATTGTCACCACTGACCTGCAAAGGTTGTACATCTAACCCTCTGCAAGCTGCTTTTGTGTCAGCGAATGAGCTGTTTTCAATCCGCTTCCATGTTTTTTCTCTTTTGGCAAGTTCCAAGCCGAGACTGTCAACATTACTATAACTTGTGATCTTGCACAGCCATCAGTTTAAAACAATTTCCATGCACATTAATTCAGTCTGAGGCACAAGCAGGAGGTCCCGAGGTGGCAGGTTCTTGCATTACTCTAATCCAGTTACCACTGAGTTAAAATGCTTTCATTACAGTTTCATACCCCTGGGAAAAACGAGGTATGACAAGCTGGGGTCTGCTTATTATGTTTTAAACCAAGATTGACTCCAGGAAATAGTAGCAGGCCTGAACAAGCACATTTTTATAGACCTCCCTTCTGTCTTCCTTGGCTCATATTTCAATTTTTTCTCAATTTCAACACTCTGCGAGGCCTTTCAGCCTCTTTGTTTGAGATTTGGAGACCAAAAATACAAGCAATAATTATCAAACAAAAATTGTCTTGTAATATCCTTTGGATATTTTGAAACTGTCACTGCTACAAAATACCTGAGGTAAACTATTTATAAGGAAGAAAGGTTTATTTTGAGAAATGGTATCAGATGCTACAGTCTGTGACCACTTGGCCTTGCTGCTTTGGACTGTGATGCCCAGTACCTCACAATGAAATATGCAGTGGAGGAGGTCCATATACTTCATGGCACCCAAGAAAGCAAACAGAAAGGGGAAAGTGCCAGGGCTCCAATATTCGCTTCAAGGCATGACCCCAATGATCTCACTTCTTCCTAGTATACCTAACCTGGTAAAGGCCCCACGAATACCCTACAGAACCAGGCCGAGGAATAGGCTTTTAATGCAAGCCTTTGGGGAATATTCCAGATGGAAACTACAGCTGTGCCCACACTCAGTTTTTGTTTCAGTCACAGGGGAACAATCCCAAAGCTACTGCCTTGGCTTCCTACAAAGTATGATGCAGTAAAATTTAGAATTTCATGTCTAGTGAAAAGAACAAGCAATAATGAAAGTGGTTAGTTCCTCCTAATGTCCAAGATCTTCGAAATATTGTATTTTTATGCTTTATGTACACATAATACAGATTACAAAATGAATATAAAGCACAACTGAATATATGAGTTTAAAAATAATCAAAAAGCCTAATCCTTAATCATCTCCACAAAAGCTTGGCTTAGAAAAGTAACTATCTAGGACTTACACTTTGTCAGTCCTTAGTATTTGGCACAATAATCTCATGAATCATTTTAATATATCTTTCTAAATCGTTTCACTTTTATGCTTCTAAAATACATTGTTTGGAATCAAATATGCAGTCTAAGTTTAAAGAATTTTTCATGAAGTTCACAAGGAACTCATCCAGCACTTGAAATATTACAGTAAAATGCTTAGTGAAAAATAGAAACATCTTTTACTTTCACTTTTTAAGAGTTGCAAAGGGAAACAGAATTAAGTTTCTTCCTTACCATACGGTCAATGATAAAATCAAGTTTGTCACTAACTGAGAATGACTCTGGAAAAGCCATAATTAGAGTTTAAGACAAACCTAGACTCTGTTTCAGCGCATGTCTGTAAATTCTGAAGATTGAAAACTACTTTGGAGAGAGGGAAACTATAAACTCTTGCAAAGAGGCTGGTGGACAACTTGCATGAAAATATGAGCTACTCAAATACCAGAAAGATGATAAGCCAATTTGCCACAGGAAATCATCAGTGTTGCCTTCTTACATGAAGCTGTAGTTAAAACAATCACAAATTCAAAATTTCTTCAACTACTTTGAAGGACACAGGCAACAGCTTACTGTGTATGGATGTATATAGGAATTTCTTCTTCCACAATATTTCTCGAATTTTGTGTAAATCAATTAGAGAGGAGCTAGAGAGGCTGCTGAGAAAGTAAGGGGCATGGATTCCTACCTTCAGGGACTCACTTTCCACTGGGTGAAGACAGACTGCAACACATAAATGAATTCTGCAATACATTAGCTGCTATCTACTCAAGTAGTAAACAAGTGCTATGAAGAAAAATAAACCAGAACTGCATAACAATTTAAACCGTTAGTCAGAAGAGGTCTCACTGAAGAGAGAAGATTTAATCAAGAACCCCAAAGGAAGCAAGTTCTTCAGATGTTCTAGAGAAGTTCCAGTCACTTGCAATAGTCAAGTGCAAAGATCCTCAGGCAAAGGTAAGTCTAGAGGTAGAGGTCAAAAAGCAGGGTAGGCAGAGTGGTGGAGGATAACCTAGCAGTTGCCTGTTGTGTAGATAGATGGGAAAGACTTTGCCTTTTTAATGAGTGGAATGGTAAGTTATTGGGGTTCGGGACATGAGCCACATGATTTTATTTACTTTCTTGAAAGAACACCCTAACTTCCCTTAGAAAGTTGTCTGTGGGCACGCAAGAGAAAAGTGGTTGGGTGTGAGGAGGCCAGGGATTACCGCAGTTGGGTGAGAACTGGAGCCAGGAGGACCATAGCCAAAGGACTAAAGAAGTGAGGCTGGAGGGGTTTTAAGGTGGAGAGAATGGAGGTTCTTTTTGCTAAATTTAGGAAATAAACAGCAGCAAAGATAAGAAGAAACACTGGATATTTGAGGTGCCCACTCAGAAGACTTAGGTTTTCTTGGCAAAATATGATGCACAAAATCCCATACCCAACTGAACCAAAATTGTTCCTTCTTCTTGAAATGTGATGCAAGAAAATAGGCCTCTTCCAAAAAGTTAAAAGAAAAAAGAAAAACACAAAGAACTTTTGCATTTTCAAGTACAGGGCCCAGTTTTGAATCTGCACTTTTCTACTTAGTGGCCTATGTATCCTGGGCAGAGCCATTTCCACATGAATATAAATCCAGGTAATGTGCCATCTGTTATAGTCTCATAGTATTCACTCAGCATATATAAGAAAAACAAGTTCATATTTTGGAGA